TTTATTTATTTATTTATTTATTTATTTATTTGCTCCCTCCCCGTTTTTAGCCGTCCCGCGCTGCGGGGGCGCGTGTCCCGGGTCCCCGGCATCGAGACCGCGACGGGCTCCAAGGGCTCCAAGGCGCGGGAAGAGCCCCGGGAAGAGCCCCGGCCTCTGCCCGCGGCTGCCGCCCGCTCCCGGCCCCGCCGTTCCCGGGAACGGTGGCAGAAGCCGCGCGGTGCCCGCAGAGGCGGCGGGCGATCCTGCAGATGGCAGGAGATACCGCCGAATCCGGCCAGGCTCGGCAGCAAAATGCACGGCTTGGCTTTTCTTCCTCCCCCTAGCAGAATCCTATGGAAAATGTGGCTTAYAGCTCACTGGGCGCTGGTGCTGACGCCTGGAGAAAGCGCTTTGCGGTTACGGACCCCAGCAAGACCCTTTCACTGCCCCTGCCTGCTAACCRTTAAAACGGGGTTTTCAGTGGCATGGGAGCAATGCGAATTCCCACCTCGGAATGTCCCAGCCCCTGCGTAGCCTGCTGGGCTCCTGCTGCTGCTCCCTGATTTTTRTTTTATTTTGTGTTTTGCTGCTGTTTTCAAGACTGCAACTTCTCTCTCTCTCTCTCTCACTCCCAAGTCATGAGAGCTTGAAAAATGCAGTGAGTGAGTAAATTCACTTAAAAACAAAACCCACCAAGGTTGCCAGAGCCGGTGAGGAGGAAAGTATGCTGAGCCTGTAAAATATGCAGGGGAGAGAGCTGGGCGAAACTGCTCTGATTTTGCTCTCGCCCTGGCTCAGATGGGATGTGCATATTTCTCAGGGACGCCAGGATTTGCCTGTGTCCGCACCCGCTTTTCCTTCCTTTCCTTTCCGCTCCTYTGCCCCGTTTCCTGTGACCGGAACAGCCCAGCCCCGGCCACGTCCACTCCGTGCACTTTTATTCCACCTTTATTTATTTATGCATTTATTTATTTTTTGGCGGGGAAAAAGTTTTTCCAACGCAAGGATTTTTTTTTCCTTGAAGTTTGATTGATCTTTTTCCCAGGTTCACTTAAAGAAAAACTCCTTTACCCCCCCCACCTTTTCATATTGGACGTTGCACAGGGAAGCAGATTTTTTTTTCCCCTTTTCATTGTGGATATTTCTGGAAAAAAATGAGATTTGGATCTCGGCGCACGGCTCCTTTGGCCGAGCCGGGAGGGCTGCGGCTCCGGAGCGAGGCGCCTGTCACGCCGCGCCGCTCCGCAGCTTCCGCGCTGCTCCGCAGGGCTCCGCGCAGGCGCTGCTCCATGCGGAGCTCCGCGCTGCTCCGCAGGGCTCTGCGCTGCTCCATGCGGAGCTCCGCGCTGCTCCGCAGGGCTCCGCGCTGCTCCATGCGGAGCTCCGTGCTGCTCCGCAGGGCTCCGCGCTGCTCCATACGGAGCTCCGCGCTGCTCCGCAGGTTCCGCGCTGCNGCTGCTCCGCAGGGCTCCGCGCTGCTCCATACGGAGCTCCGCGCTGCTCCGCAGGTTCCGCGCTGCCCCATACGGAGCTCCGCGCTGCTCCGCAGGGCTCCGCGCTGCTCCATGCGGAGCTCCGCGCTGCTCCACAGGGCTCTGCGCTGCTCCATACGGAGCTCCGCGCTGTTCCGCAGGTTCCGCGCTGCTCCATACGGAGCTCCGCGCTGCTCCGCAGGGCTCTGCGCTGCTCCATGCGGAGCTCCGTGCTGCTCCGCAGGGCTCCGCGCTGCCCCATGCGGAGCTCCGCGCTGCTCCTCAGGTTCCGCGCTGCTCCATACGGAGCTCCGCGCTGTTCTGCAG